ACATACATTTTTGTGCCAGCATTTGACCTGAACATGTCTGGACATTCTGTTCTGAAGTGAACAATTATCAGAGAATTACAAAGGCATGCCAGGATTCTGCTCCTCTTCTCAGACTCTTAGGGCGCAGTCACACTAGGACTTTAGAACCGTGCCGCGCTCAAACATGATTGCTATGGGTTCTATGGCCCGCCGTCACACCTGCACAACCAAACAGGGCCACGGTTGACGACATCATTACACAGTGCTGTTTGTTTTACAGGTCATGCAACATTACATGAAATATCTCTTAAATAGTGAGGCAGATATGATGCGCGCTCCACTATGAGTTTATGGATATAAAAACAGCCGGAGGAGTGAGGACAACAGGAGACATGGCTGCAAAACTTCTGTCTCTATCACAGTCCTTTTGAATTTAAGTGTGTGGAATTTCTTCACTGTTTTTATCATATGAGTAACATTAGCACATCTGACAGGGATTTTATAGTAAAGTCGTGCATGAGCAACCATGCTGTGCTTTGGCCAACTTCCTCCAAATGGGCCAAAGTCCCAACCATCTCATACCGTGCTTTAGGGGCTACGGTTTTTCCTAGTGTGGCTGTGTCCCTAGTGATAATATGAAGAAAGATTAGATGAAAAGTAACACCAAGTATTTCACTTTACGATAACCACCAGATTTAAGCCCGGACTGTATCATGTGCTGTACCTGATTTTTACTCTCTTAAAAATGTGAAAAACACAACTAGTTCATTTTAAATGGTTTGCACTGGTCCAAAGTTATTCCACATTTTTATTTTACATTTATAAGTGCTTTTTACAGCTCTCAGTAGAAGCCAGAGCAGAGTTTAGAGACAAAGTAAAGTTAACAACTGGCATGATAAAAGTGGATTTTAAATATATTTGTTTTAGTTATGATAAAACAAAAAAATTTAATGCACATTAGTTAACAACTACCTTTCATGTTCATGAGAGATTGGCAATCCCAGGGCTGAAACCATCCAAATGATTCTAGTGAACGTGTATGGAGTTGAAAATCCCAGTGGAGCATTTTCTGTATTACCCCTTGACATCAGTGAGTGTTTTCAATTTGAAAGAAGAACTCAACTTAAATCTGCAGGGTTTGTGTCTTAAACATGCGTAAATGAAACAAAACACAATTCCAGGTCTGTTTTGTCGAGGGTTACTGGGTTCAGGCTGATCATAAACGATACATCAGATGTCTACCGTTAAACAAGGTCACCACAACATCTTGATTCTTACATCTTTGTTTTATATCTAGTGTTTCTTGCTTAGCTTGTTGTAATATATCAGCTGTTGCATGTTCAACCTAAGAAGTTTAAGTATATAAGAAGACAAAATGAACATCATTGGCTTAACACTCTGACCTTGTACTCCTTGTGTTGAGTCTTAGCTTATGCGTCTTTATGAAACCTGTGCCTTGATGTTTACAGTCTTGAAATTCCACAACAAGCACAATATGGTCCCTTTAAAAATACACCCATTTTGGTGTTGTTGTGCTGTATCAAGAATGCTGCATTACCGATTATTGTATTCATCAATATAATGTGATACATTGTGCAGGCCTAGTGACAGGTGTAATAATAATAATAATGCATTTTATTTATTAGGTGCCTTTCTGGACACTTAAGGTCACCTTACAACAATAAACAAAAAAACAAAGTTAAAAAGCACATAAAGTTGAACTGGGATAGTGCAGGTATGGTCCAAAGGTAGGCTGGAATGAACAGGCCAGTCAGAACAGGAGTTTTTTGTTTGGATTTGAAACGTGGAGTGAGTCAGTGTTGCGGACTTCAGGAGGCAGAGTCTTCCAGAGCGTGTGCCAGGGTATGGAATGTGAAGAGCAGGATTTTGCATTGACTGCGGTGTGGGATGGGGGGACAGTGGAGCTGTTGTAGGACGGGGGGTGGTGTGGTCGATGAACGGGTAAATCGGGTCGATGTAGGGGGTGCTGAGGTCGATGGAGGGGGTGGTGTGGTCGATGGAGGGGTGGTGTGGTCGATGGAGGGGGTGGGATGTCGATGGGGGGGTGGTGTGGTCGATGGAGGGGGTGGTGTGGTCGATGGAGGGGGTGGTGTGGTCGATGGAGGGGTGGTGTGGTCGATGGAGGGGGTGGTGTGGTCGATGGAGGGGGTGGTGTGGTCGATGGAGGGGGTGGTGTGGTCGATGGAGGGGGTGGTGTGGTCGATGGAGGGGGTGGTGTGGTCGATGGAGGGGGTGGTGTGGTCGATGGAGGGGGTGGTGTTTTCAATGGATCCAATCCATACGGGAGGTGACATAATAAAATGTCAGGTGGAAGGTGTTATAAAGGTGTTGTAAAGTCAGAGGTGTTATAAAGTGAAAGGTGTTATAAAGTGAAAGGTGTTATAAAGTGAGATTTGTTATTAAGTGAGATTTGTTATTAAGTGAGATTTGTTATTAAGTGAGAGGTGTTATAAAATGAAAGGTGTTATAAAGTGAGATTTGTTCTAAAATCACAGGTGCTATAAAGTGTCAGGTCTTATAAAGTGATCATGACTCTAAGGTTGTGGTTTGAATGGAGTCAGAGACATGGGTTACACAAAAAATCCAGTGTTTGTTATATTAGTTGATCAGATTTCAGTTTTCTTAATGTGTGTAAAATGTGCACCGTAAACTGAATCTCGACTTCAACAATAAAAGTTTGTCAGGTTAATTGTACTTCGACGGTTTTGCCTCCCATGACTTTCTGTTTTGTGTTTGCCCGTGTCCACATGATGCCTCAGTGATGATGTGATTATGGAGCACAATAGTGTTCAGTGAATCGTGCAGAGTAATTCCGAGAGCTTTGGGCCAGCCATTTGAGCCGTTTACATCCCGTTTACCTCTACGTGAGTCACTTATGAAAAACGAATTAAAATCACTCGTTCATTTGTTTTTTTTTATATAAAACCAAAAATAAGAAAATGAAAAAACAATTATTTTCTTAATTATTTGTCTCCAAAACCAAAATGAAAAACGGATAATGTTTAATTTTTTCAGTTTCGATTTTGTGTTTAAATGTATAATGGAAAAAATGGATAACAGCCGTTTCCCATTTCTGTGACTTAAACTGTGATGCCGGACTTTTGCACCACATACGGACTGAACGGGACTAAACAGGACTAAAACAGGAATAAACCATTTTCAGTCCTGGTCTCAGTCCTGTTCTGGTTCCAGTCTCAGCCCTCGTCTGGTCCCGGTCTCAGTCCCGGTCTGGTTCTGGTCTGGTCCCGGACGTGGTTTAGTCCAGGTTTAGTCCTGGTTCAGGAAAACTGAAAAAATTCATTGTTATATGTTTTTTTCATTTTGGTTTTAGAGACAAATAATGAAGAAAACCGTTGTCTTTCCATTTTCTTATTTTTGGTTTTATTTTGAAAAAAAATAACGATGATGCCAAATGATATACAGATTGTCAAATGCAGTGCAAAACACTGTTGGTGAATAGGACAAAAAAAATGCAAAAGATAGGGATGTAACAATAACTGAAATATCGTAATATCGTATCGTCAAAAGTCTCTCAGTAGTATTGTGGACTATCACAATATATCGAAATTATAAGTCTCATTGCTTAAATTAATAATTATGGTGCAGCAATAGCTAAAAAGCAGAGGGAACTACATAGACCATGACCCTTTGCTCTGTTTCAGTCCAGACTTCTTGAAGAAATAACTGTTCTCAGCACTTTTAAATGTTATTTGGATTATGACAGAAAAAAAATGTATTATTCATAGTTTATTCACAGTTTTCTTAGTCTTCAAAAAATATCACACTAAATATCATACCGTGAGATGCAATATCATGAAATTGGTCCTGAAGCTCAGAGAGAGAGGCTCAAAGCTAAGCTCCAAACCTACTCACTGAACCCCTGTGAGAGGGTCAAGAGTTTAGGAGTTACTCTTGACAGTGAGCTTAGCTTTGAGCCACACATCAGGTCCATCACTAAATCCGGTTTTTATCATCTAAAAAATATTGCCAGAGTCAGACCATTTCTCTCTCAAGCCAGTGCAGAGACTTTAATACATGCTTTTATCACAAATCGTGTTGATTACTGCAATGCTCTCCTTTCTGGTCTTCCAAAGAAATCTACAGCTCCATTGCAGCTCCTCCAAAACTCTGCAGCCCGGCTGCTGACGAGGACCAGGAAGCGAGAGCACATCACCCCAGTACTGAAGTCTCTGCACTGGCTTCCTGTGAGCTTCAGGATAGATTTTAAAGTTCTTTTATTAGTTTATAAAAGCTCTTAATGGTCTTAGTCCTATTTATTTATCTGATCTGCTTTTATCATATGAGCCCTCTCGGACTCTCAGGTCCTCAGGTAGTCTTCTTTTAACTGTCCCAAGAGTCCAGACTAAAACTCACGGTGAGGCGTCATTCAGCTTTTATGGCCCCGTTTGTGGAACAGTCTGCCTGAGGATCTGAGGTCCGCTGCGAGTGTTCATATTTTTTAAAAGTAAGCTCAAAACCTATCTTTTTAATTTAGCTTTTAATTGAAACTTTTATCTGTCTTAACTTAAATTATTATTATTATTATTATTATATTTATTTATTCTAAATTAAATTATCATTACTGTTTTACTTTGTCTCCATTTGATTTTAGCTCTCCATTTTGATTTTTATAATAACCTTTAGGAGTTTTATGTTTTTGTTTTTATGTTTATGTTTAAATGGTTGTATATATGGATGAAACAAAGGGATGGGATGGGGGGTTGCTCTTGATTTTAATTATTGTATTGTAATTTTTCTGTTGCATGTGAAGCACTTTGTGCTACATTTTAAATGTATGAAAAGTGCTATACAAATAAAGTTTGATTGATTGATTGATTGATGAAAATACCATACCGTACGTCTATCTGAAGAATGTTCTGAAGGGTTTAAACTTCCTCCATTAAGTTGCACAGTATTGCTTTGACAGTACATGTCTTTTAAGAAAATGCTTAGTTTGTTGTCGTTTTGTGATCATCTAATCAAGTATTGTGTGATTTCAGGGACTGAGAATGCGATCCAAGCTTGTGTGGAAAATGGTATTCCGAGCCTCATTTACACCAGCAGCATGGGCGTGGTCGGCCCCAATCAAGAAGGAGATCAGTTTATCAGGTAATCTTCTGCTCCATCTGACGTTCACCTCTGATCCTTCTGACCCCGTCTTCTGCTCCATCTAACCCTCTCCTCTGCTCCATCTGACGCTCTCCTCTGCTCCATCTGACCCCATCCTCTGCTCCATCTAATGCTCTCCTCTGCTCAATCTGACCTCCATCCTCTATTCCAGGGGTGTCAATCTCATTTTGGTCCGGGGGCCGTATCCAACCCACTTTGATCTCAAAGGGGGATCAGAAAACTCATGTCATATAAACCCCAAAAATAACAATAAGTTCAAATATTTGTGCAGAGAAACACAAATCTATTACAGAAATCTTTTTTAATTGATGAACTTTTTCTTTTACAAAATATTATAATATTATGAACAACCTGAATCTTTAAGAAAAAACTATTTCAACACAATGTTTTAACATGAACTTGTACGTAAACAGGAATAAGACAATTTTTCTTGGAAAATCCTGCACTTGGCTCCATTTTTGTCATTTTGGACATTTTTCTGATGAGGGTGTCACAGTCAACAGTCAAAACGATCGTCCTTTAAGAGCGTTTGGAAAGAGACAAGTCTTCATTTGTGCTGCTCTGGTGGGAGGGGCCATGCACAGAGACGCTGGAGACGCTGCTGTGATAAACACAGCAGAAAAGAAACAATATTTTAATAGAAAATATAATTACAATATTTTAGTAAAACGTCAGCTAAGGGCCAGATTAAAGGTCTTGGAGGGCCGGATCTGGCCCCCGGGCCTTATGTTTGACACCTGTGCTCTATTCCATCTGACCCTCTCCTCCTCTCATCTGTAGAATCTTACAGCTAACTGTAAAAAGTTTGAATAGGGCCCTGGGAGAGATCTCTAAAATACTCAAATGCATGGGTGCCATCTAAAACCTGTTCAAGCTGTTTTTGATGATGGGACAATGTTATAACTTGATAGAACTTAGAATAATTAAAAACATCAGTAATGTAAGTCCCTATTGTCGTAAAGTACTTGTTGGAAGTTGTTTCTTGCTTTGTGCGGAATGTTTCACAGTATGGCATTAAGCCTTTCTGTCTTAGTGGAAACAAACCAGACCAAGTTACAGGTCAGAACTATGGAGAGGCGACCCTCGCTCACAGAATGTTTGTTTTTCTAGGTATTTTTAAGCTATAAAACCACCTGTAATTGAATAAATATAAAGTAGAGATGTTTAATGTCATATTGTGGAACATTCCAGGCAGAGCAATGACGTATCCATATAAACAAGCAGGTGACAGACCCTCCACCAGAAAAGTTACACAATGCACCTTTAAATTAATGTCATTTTCCTCCTTTAGTTACCTCGTGTGTGTTTTTTGTCATGATGAGGAAATCTAATTTGGACATTGGGTTGTATTGTGCAAACTCATTTTTTCTTTTGGATAGAAAATCAGATACAGTTGAGTCATAAAAAAATAAAAACACATTGCAATGAAGTTATGAAATTGAAAATTGCAGGGTGTCCTTCTGAGTTGCCACATTTGACAGATTCATTATGCCATGGTTTGGGAGAGCGCATCATCATAATGAAATATAGAAACAAAGGCTGTGTCTAAATGTCTACTCTATTTCCTACTCCCTAGCATTCAAAATTGTAGTGGGCATTGGTGGTCACTAGATTGGTCAATAGACAACAATGCATTACATGAGTCGATGTGGACACAAGACAAGTGAATAAAATTTGATAAAAGCGCTGATTTATGGCTCTGTAGATCCTGATTCTGAATAAAACACGACTAAATAAAGCGTTCTGGTGATAGTGGTGCTAGGTTTAACCGATTACCTTAGCTCCAGTTGTTAATAGATTGATAAAAAAACTAATAATCCAGATTGTTTATGTGAAATCCAGCTTGACAAATACACATATGATTATTATTTGTCATAAACACTTGTGCCAGTCTGATGTGATCAGGGGTGTGCAGAAATATCGTTATATCGTATTGTTCAATGTGATGATACATTATAGATATCGTTTTTCTGCTGTATCGATATATATTGCCAAAAGTGTTTTGTTACTAAATTATTTTGTTAAAGTGCTACAGTTTTGTTTCTTGTTCAGAGGAAGGAAATTCGTTCATGCAACACATTTGACATTTTCACAGTTTTGATGATGTTTGTGTTTCATATTTAACTTGCACAAGAAGTGGTTTAACAAAGACTTTTAGTGTCACAACCATCATTTAGCCTTTATTTTTTATAGAAGAGTATTGAATCACTTTGAAATATAACGTATTGAATTGTATTAAATAGTAAGCTCACTGTATGTATCGTATCGTGGCCCATGTATCGAGGCATGTATTGTATTGTGGCTTATGCTAGACACTTCACCCACTTTGCCTAGTATGAAAGTGGTGTGTGTGTGTGTGTGATGAGTGGTGAGTGATGGTGGTGGTCGGAGGGACCGTTGGCGCCAATTGGCATGGCAGCTGCGCTTCTGTCAGTCTGCCCCAGGGCAGCTATGGCTACAACAGTAGCTTACCATCACCAGGTATAGAGTGAATGAATAATGCTGAATAATGCTCTGTAAAGCGTCTTTGTGACAAAAATGTCTGTGAAAAGCGCTATAGAAATGGAGACTTAGGCTGCGTTCAGACTGCAGTCTGAAGTGACCCAAATCCGATTTTTTGGCCTCTATGTGACCTGTATCTGATCTTTTAATGACACAGATCCATTTTTTTCAAATGCGACCCAGGCCACTTGGATATGTGGTCCTGAATCCGATACATATCCGATCTTTTGACATGCGACTTCAGTGTGAACGGCCAAAGTGCATTCATTCAACCTACACGTTATCAACAAGCCACAAATGTCACTATTCTGCGCTGAAGTAGTCCGAAAATTGTTAATGAACTCCGTGTCACTGAAGCGAAGCACATCACCACTCACCACTCTTGGCTCCGTCTCCGCATCCACATGTTCCTTTCAACGGACGTCGCTGCCGCTGTCCTACAAAACGCCACGGCCAAAAACCTCATCCTTCTCAATCTCCTCCTTAAAACAAGTAAGTTGTTCATGTTCTGGCTCCGGTACGAGAGGAACTTTAAAATCGCCAGGTGCTCAATGCTCGCGTCCATGTTTGGACAACTTCCGTAAACACAGAGCACGCTCGCTGCGGTTGACGTCATCGTGTCTCCAGTGCACATGCGGGACACGTTTACTGTTCACACAGGGGATCGAATACAAGTCACATTTAATTGGAAATGTGAACGACCTCGCAAAAACATCAGATTTCACAAAAAAATTGGAATTAAGCGTTAAGCCCTGCAGTCTGAACGTAGCCTTACTTACTTACTTATTTACTTACTTACTATGTATCCAGGTATGTATCATATCGTGGCCTATGTATCGAGGCATGTATCGTATCGTGGCTTATATGTCGAGCTATGTATAGTATCGTGGCCTATGTATCAAAGTATCAAATGTATCGTGGCCTATGTATTGTATCGGCAACTTCTGAATGATATCCAGCTTTAGATGTGATCATTATTTATGACAGAAATCAAGTTTTATCAGAGTTTAGCTGAGTTTTTTTCACTGCATGTCTGAATAGCTCTGTCAGTCAGTGCACTGTAGAGGGTGCTAAAGAGTGCAGGCCTATGTAATGAGGGGTTAGGGCAGGGGTGGGCAAACTATGGCCCGGGGGCCATATGCGGCCCTTTAAACCTTTTAATCCGGCCCGCCGAACTGGAATAAATTACAATAATAAACCTTGTTGATGTTTTATTTGTCATGCATTTCCAGCGTTTCCCAGTAGATGGCGCACTATATATACATTGAGTTGCGGTGTATTATGTTGGCCGCAATGCTTTATGGGAAAGTGTTCTTACAGGAGTTATTCGGACCATGAGTGAAGTAGTTGGTGCTTAAGATATAAGACTGCACTGCTTCCATTTTGAGGTGGTAAAAATCGATCTAGGAAACCAAGTGGACTCTGAGTTGTGATTATTAATGTGTACAACATTTTGGAGTCAGGATTTATCACTCTCACAGGTGTGTATCTGTGGGTGTTTGGCGAGAGCTTTGATTTTGAGCTGTTATCAGTCATATTCAAAAACGGTGAACTCATGATATACATTCACTCGTGGTGTGCAGTGGAACAGGTCTCAACAGTTTTATGTGTTCTGAATCTTTCACAGCAGTGATGAAACATGTAGCCCACGTCTGAAGTCCTAGGTAAATGTGAATAAGAATGTAATGAATCTGAGCTCTTAACACGTTATGTCCTGTCTTCTGTCCGTCCCTTCAGTCAAACTTTAGGACCCTATGTGGCCCGCGAGCCAGAAAGTTTGCCCACCCCTGGGTTAGGGACTAGGACAGACATTCTGACACAGCCAAAAACACAGCACCTCTCCATATGTCATCAACTGACATCAATTCCATCCAAAATGCAGAGACAATTTACGCACATTGAAGGCATTATTCTTACAGTTTAAGCATTGATGTAAGAAAAAACTGTGTTGTTATTTATTTTTATTTGTCAATTCATGACTATTGTTTTATTTTGTCAATTTATGGCCCTTGTTAGCACAATGGTTGCCAGGTAACAGTTATGGGATTACCTCCACACATGTCATATCTGCTGCCCGGTCCAGTCAGGAAGTAAAATTATGACCGTCACCAAAATTCCAAAACTTGAAAATAATAGGCAAGATTTTTAGGAAAACTTAACTAAATATAATCATGTTAACGAATTAGTAGTCTAACCTGGCATATGCACTTGTTTTGTACAACCAATAACGAAAAACTGATTTTTTTTTTTTTTTTTTTCCCTATTTTTCAATTTTTATTTCAAAATTGTGAAATGGGAAACAAGTAATTTTCCGATTTTGGATTCTTTGGAATGCATGGATTCTTTATCTAGTTTATGTATTTTTGGTGTAGTTTATCATTTTACTTCCTGGCTGGACTGTTACCTAGCAACCATACTGTAAACAACAGTCAAATCGTGTATCTTTGAACATTAAAAGATCTGTAACTGAAGCAGATTATTCCCATGGACACGACCAAGTGGCCTGCCTTCCTCTCGAAAAGTTACATAGTGAAACTTTAAGGGCAATGTAAAATAAGGTGTCACCTCAATGCCTGCTACAAAAACTTTGAATTTATAATGGTATTTTTCCCCATTCTGTCCCATTTCCATAAAAAACAAAAAACAAAAAAACATGTCTGTAGTTGTGCAGAAGTGATCCCCCATCTGCACATGCCCAGGACGGTGTAGACAAACAGGCTCTGCTGACAGATATCCCACAATGCACTGCTGACTCGCCCTTAGTCATTCTTTCCTAAGCCACATGTTTCATCCAGAGGAATCCTAACATTCCTCTCATACATGGGGAAGGGCCAGAGCTCTCACACTGGCACTTGGAGTTTTTTAGTCAGACTCAAATATTAATTTGTATTGGTTACCATGGTAACACAATAGACACAATAGACACAATAGCAAACACTGCTAAGCTTTTTAGATTTATTCAAACACATTTTCAGGAGCCTTAATCAAGCTTAAACTTTGTTATCTGTAAGTTGTTACCAGTAGAGGGCAGATGTGAAACCTGTTGCCCTCCTCTGGACTTTGTTCAAGTGTAGATTCGCTCGGCCCAGATTGGTTCAGGTCTGGAGACATTGCATTTGGGTGACAAAGTGAATAAAAAATATTGTCTTTTTCTCTTAGAAAATACAAAATTATCACTATTTATGTTTATTTTTATTACTATATAAATATTTACAAAACTGTATGCAAATCTTCTCCGGGAGGCATCCAGAACAGATGCAGCGGCTCTACTCCAAGATCCTCCCATGTGACTGAGATCCTCACCCAACTTCTAAGGGCACCCAGCCACTCTGAGGAAGAAACTCATTTTAACTGCTTGTATCCACAATCTTGTCCTTTCAGTCCCTACTCAAAACTATGTTCTACATAATTAATAAACCCCTTTAATGGCTAGTACATAGTATTAAATAGTTATCACTCTGAATCATTCTGAACAAACTCTTTGTTCCTTATGTTCCTTATGTTTCCAAGACTCACAAAAATGTGAAAGTGGTACAGAAACAATACATATATATATATATATATAGGATAGGATAAAAACTACAAAGATGATCTTATTTAAATTTTTTTTTTCTTTTTCTTTTTTAGGGGGACTGAAGACACGCCCTACCGCATCAAACACACCATGGCTTATGACAAGACCAAGTCTAAGGCTGAGGAGCTGGCGCTGAAAGCCAATGGGACCAAGGTGAGAACATCTGTGAAGACAATAATCAAGGGCCCATATTACACTATTTTATGATCTATGTTATAATGTTCCTCATCACAAACAGACTTGGAATTGTGTTTTGTTTCATTCACACATGTTTAACAGACAAACCCTGCATATTAAGGCTGAGTTCTTCTCTCAAACAGAAAGCACTCTGTTCTACATTATCATGTCATGTGGTTACACAGAAAATGCTTCAATACTTCATAACTTCATACATTTTCACGTGAATCATTTGGATAATGTAAGACATGAAATTGGCAATCTTAAAAGGTAAAAGGTAGCTGTTTTACCACTTCATGACATTACAAGATGGAGTATTTTGAGCTTTGGAGATGTAGCTATACTAATAACAAAGGGTTACTTTCTTGTGTGAATGAAACAAAACACAAGTCCAGGTCTGTGTTTTAGGAGGTAACAGCATTGTAACATGGCTTAAAGCTCACAAGAGTCAAGTTTGCGTAATATAGCGCCTTCAATCTCAAAACATAAAAACAGCATCTACCCGTCCAAGCGGTGTTTGAACCATTGATCTTCGGACTCAAATACTATACGTGTATGTTGAAATTGCTAAAGAGTTGTTCTTATTATCATCGTGGTATCGGAGTAAGTATCACATATTGAATCTACTTCTTAGTATTGAAATTAAGTTTGAATTTTTTGTTTTGTGACAACACTAGTGAACAGTTGAATAATGTTAAATACTGGATTGTTTTAAAAGAAGATTAATCTTCATACACAAGTGTAACTTAAGCCGATGCAGGACGAGAATCTCCTGTTCACAAAGACAACAGCTAAAGCCCCAGGGTCTAACACTGTTTGAAAGAAAAACAAAGGTGAAGTCATCAGTTAAATATGAAGATTAAGTAAAACTTCATGCTGGAACTGTTAGTGCTGCACTTTACTTTTTGAAAAGTTTTGTTAACTGTTTACAAGGAGTTTACTTTTTATAATATTTCATACATTTATTGTTTATTTTAGAATATTTTATTTAACTTATTATTATTACCAAGCATTATCTATATCTATTATCTATATATAGATTAGGGGTGTAACTGGTTCATTTTCAGTACAGTGGGGGAACAAAATGAAAAACCATTTGCTTGTTGTTTATTTGTGTGTTTATTAAACCAACAATTAGTTTTGACATACAAATGGGAAAATAAAATAAACGCAAAGTGCTGCTTGGTAATAATAATAAGTTAAATAAAATATTCTAAAATAAACAATAAATGTATGAAATATTATAAAAAGTAAACTCCTTGTAAACAGTTAACAAAACTTTTCAAAAAGTAAAGTGCAGCACTAACAGTTCCAGCATGAAGTTTTACTCAATCTTCATATTTTTGGTCAGAAAAAACAACTTGTCCACATTGTGTGCAGTAAGTGCAGATCTGCTGCAGTTACAATGTCCCCAGCGGTTGAAAATACCACTGGGGGGTGGAGATTGTGTGAGATTGAATGAGGACCAACGGCTGTAGTTTTGCGAGGATTCACATGATTCGGAGGGACGTAGTCAAGGCAAATGTCAAGTCAGTGTCAAGACGGCCACCCTAACTATAAAGCGCTGCAGGAAACACTGCCCCAATCACCTGTACCGAAACGGCTCGGCACAAATACATGTACCATTACACCCCTAATATATATGTTAAACGTCCTATGTTACTTAAAACTGACTCTTTAAACTATGCTATAATGTTGTTACCTCATCAAAAACATTCCTGGAGTTGTGTTTTGTTTTATTCACATGTTTGAGTAATCTTTTATTATTAGTCTGTCTACATCTCCAAAGCTATTCCACCCTGTGATGTCACAAAGTGGTAGTTTTCAAGTTACCAGCTATTTTATACCCTTTTTCAGTAGAGATTGGCAATTCCAGGGCTGTAATTATCCAAATGGTTCTAGCAAAGGTGTAAGGATCTTAAAACCACAGTGGAGCACTTCCTGTGTGACATTACAAGGTGAAACATAGAGTTTTCCATTTGAGAGAAGAACTCAGCATTAAAATGCAGAGTTTGATTGTTAAACATGTGTGAATGAAACAAACACAACTCCAGGTATGTTTGTGATGAAGAAACTACATTATAACAGATCAGAAAATAGTGTATGGGCCCCTTAAAAATAATTCATTCAGACTTGTAAATGCTTAGATTGATTTGTAGTGATCAAAGTGACTCCATGTGATTTTCTTTAACTACAAGAACATCTAATACTTTTACAGACCACAGGGGGCAAATGAAAACCACATTTTACTTAATGCACAGGGCTTAAAAGCACCATAACTCACTATAACCTCACTGTGCTGTAAAATGGACTGAAGAAAAGACTTAATATGTTTCTATTTAACATTAGCTCATCTTGTGTGTGTGTCTGTGTGAGTGTGTGTGTGTGTGCGCTTGTGGGTGTGTGTGTGTGTGTTCTAAAACATGTTTTGCAGATTACGCTTATGTCGAACTCTCAGAATGTCCATAATTTAACATTTAATGGGCCCATATTACGCTGTTTTCTTATGTGTGTTAAAATGTAGTTTCCTCATCACAAACAGACCTGGAGTTGTGTTTTGTTTCATTCACATGTTTAACACACAAATCCTGCATATTTTGGAGAGTTTTTCTCTCAAAATGAAAACATTCTGTTCCACCTTGTGATGTCATGTGGCAATACAATAAACACTGCACTGTGCACTTTAAACTCCATAGACCTTCACTAGAATCATTTGGCATCTTGCAATAATAATGATATTTTAGTTATTTTAGTTGTAAAATGAGAAGATTTGAGCAGCAAATATAACAATAAGCTGTAGAGCAGACTTGTCAAACTCAGGCCCAGGGGCCAAATTTGGCCCATGATATAATTATATTTGGCCTGTGAGATCATATCAGATATGTATTAGAGCTGCCCGCCGGCTACAGATAGGCCATAGAGACATTATTTATTTAAATATTTTATATTATGCTTGTTCTGGAGTCAATGTTTAAGCAAAACTATTATTGAACTTTTTCTTTTTTTTAAATAAAAGGTTTAACATTACATATCTCAAAAGAAGAGAAAACATGCAGATGCTGTTGAAATTTTTCAATAAATATTTAGTTTGGCCCACAACTTACTCCCTACTTTTAATTTTGCCCCTGTGTGAATTTGAGTTTGACACCCCTGCTGTAGAGGCTTGAATAAGTAACTTCTGTATCTAATAATTGTTTTATTCTACTCTTTATTTGTTGCAGCACAAGCCTTTAAATAATCCTGTTTATTTAGAAAAAACTGAACATGTAATATCTTCTTTATTGTTATCGTGTCAGTGTCATAAAGTAGTTATATTGTCATGTGTCGTTATATTTCTCTGTAGCTGTATATTGTACTTCAGAATGTGTTATCGTGACCGGCCGAGCTTCCTTCAAGGCCTCTGAAGTACAACACGTTTCACTCATACACGCAAACTCGGGTCACGCCTCCAAATCAGGCAAACTTCTGTAATGTGAAATTTATTTTTCTCGCCACAGGTGAAGGGCGGGAAGACGATGTACACCTGCTCCCTCAGACCCACAGGCATCTACGGAGAGGGCCACGATCTGCTCAAGGAATTCTGGACGCGCTGTATCCAGACAGGAGGGGTCATAATAAGCGTTGTCCCGGAAAACACAGAGCACGGGCGTGTCTATGCAGGTGGGCAACACATGGTCAAAATCACTCACCATATTTTGCTTAAAGGAGCACTTTGTAACTTTTTTGCTTGGGGGTCCATCACCTTCTTGTTTCCATGGATATGTCATTGCTCTGCTTGGAATGTTCCACAGCATGACATTAAACAGCTCTATGTTACATTTCTTCAATTACAGGTGGTTTTATAGCTCAAAATACCTAGAAAAACTGATATTTTGACTGTGAGCAGGGTTGCCTCTCCACAGATCTGGCCTGTAACTTGGTCTGGTTTGGTCTCCATGAAGGTAGAAAGGTTTAATATCATACTGTGGATCATTCCAGACAAAGCAATAACATCTCCATGGAGAAAAGCATTTGACGGACTCTCCAGAAAAGTTACACAATGCTCCTTTACCTGTTTATTTCCTATGTTGTATGATGTTATTCAGTATTTGAGCAAAACTCGTTTTATACAGTGTTTTTGTGTTTTGTTTCATTCACATGTTTGAGTAATTCTTTATCTTTAATCTGATCTCCAAAGCTCAAAATGCTGTGTTCCACCTTGTGATGTCATGAAGCAATAGTTTTCATGTTTGCAGCTACCTTTTACCTTTTGTTCAGAAGAGACTGGCAATTCCAGGGCTGGAATCGACTACAGCATGGTTTAAAGCCCTAATAAGTCCACTTTAAGATTTTCAGTTAAAATGACGTTACTTCAAAATCAGTCAATCAAGGCCTCTGTAGGATTTGTCAAAAAGTGAACTGGAGAAAGCAGGGCGTGGTAGTAGCTGAAGTGTAACTAAGCTGGACAAATTAGGCTTTAGACAGCTGTCAAAACCAATGCATGTAAAGCTAAAAGTTATGAGTTGAGCATAAGAAAGAATTCAGAGCTAATTGTACTCAAGTAAAACTACTGTTACTTCAAAATAATATTAGTCAAGTAGAAGTACAAAGTTCAAGAAATGAAAAATTGTATGTTTACTGTCACGATACTATAATTTCAAGCCCCTATTGATACTTTGCAGCTCATGTCATCATTCACTGGGGGTGTGATGCTACCTGGAGGCATCGCTCTGTCTGAAGCTCTGTTACTAAAGTCAGACTTTAATCTGAGCTTTATTTTAATACACTCTGATCATAAAGAACTGACATAGCTGGAACTACAACAGGTGAGCTGCTCTGTGCTGTTAAAAATGTACGTAAATATTGTTTAAGCAGCTTTTGAGGTCAAAATAAGTCCGATGTGTACTGTCTGCATCTAATTATAGTCAAAGAAATACGCAGTTAGCATGCTAGTAGTTGTAAGCTTTACCGTGATGGCAAAACTCTGCTCTGGCTGCTGAAAGTTGCGAAAAGCGCTTATAAACTTGTGAATAACGCAAACGGTTTAAAATGAACGAATCACATTAAAACCGTTAAATGTGCACTGTGTAACTTTTCTAGTGGTCCGCCACCTGCTTGTCTCCATGGAGATGTCATCACTGATGTCTAGATTGTTCCACAGTAGAGATTAAGTCGTATCTATCTCAAGGGAAACTACCGTAGGCTACATTACAGGTTAGATCTATGGAGAGTCGCCCCTATTCACAGAAGGGATGGTTGTATTTTTGAGCAACAGAAACGCCTGTAATTAATAAATAACTTTTCTGACGGAGGGTCCGTTTCATATTATTGTATTAAACCTTTCTATCATCATGGAGACCAAACCAGACCAAGTTACAGGTCAGATCTGTGGAGAGGCGACCCCGCTCACAGTCAGACTGCTTGTTTCTCTAGGTATTTTTGAGCAATAAAACCACCTATAATTAATACATGCTAGATAGATGCATTTAATGTCACACCATGGAATATTTCAAGCAAAGCAATGACATGGAAATAAGCAAATGACAGACCCTCCACCAGAAGTGTTGACAATGTACCCTTTATATTTTGAAGTTAGTCATCTGAACTGCAGATGCTCTCTCTGTGCTGGCGTGTAAAGTTAGTATGACTCAGGTCTAAATAATGGGATTACCCACATTTAAAGTGGTATTTTCCTGTCTCCAATGTTACATTGCTTTATTTACAAACATTAAATCATGAGACCGGCCCATACCCTCTCACGTCAGAGTTGTCACTGCTGTAGCAGAGGCCTATGTTTTGAAATGTAATGGAAAAATCACTCTAATTTGGCATTTTGTTCCTAGTGAAATGTCTCTGAAACAGTGGGTCCCGCCTATAGATCAGTCTCTTTTTCCATGTCAGATTCTTTATTTTTTTGTTTAATAGCAACATAAACTTAGCCAGGCTAATTTCTCTACAGCGACTAGGTCAGGAAACAGAATACAATAGACGGTTTCCAAGACCCTGGAAGTTGTAGACCACACACCAGCCATTCAGCGAAGAGCTGTGAAGCCATGACGTCAAACTCGTCACGCTTGTCTGGGTCCCTTTTGTGGCACAACACAACAGTAAACAAAGCGGTCCAGATGGCTGTAGACGAAGACAAACATTCTGTGTTGGCAGCAGTTCCCAAGATCAAGGATTTAACGCCAGAACAAAGAGAATGTTTGGTGAATTTTATCAAAGGGAAAGATGTTATTGCCCTTCTTTCTATGGGATTTGGTGCATTACATACGTCACAACCAAATAGCAGTTAAATTAAAAAAAAGTACTCGCCTACTGTCGAGCGAATGAATCCTCATGCTGCAAGGTCAGACGGTTTCCACGAAGAGAAACCAGCTGAAGAATCAGGCTAACATAAACTAGTACACTGCAGAATGAAAGAAACAAAAGTATCAATCACTGCTGAAGTTACATTGTTCTCATACTGAAAACTAACTGTAAAAACATCTATGCACAACTTAATCTGGGATCTGGGGGGCCTTTAGTTCAGCTGTTATCCGTGGGTTCAGAATGATGAAAAATTAGGACCGTTGCCATGGCGATTAATGATATAAAACAAAATATTACAGCTGAAACCCATTAATTTACTGTGGACCCATCATGTTACATAAAGCCCGTTTGAGGTCATTGCAAACTGTTTTTTTAGTCGTTGAATCTGGCAACAGAAACTGTACAGCAAATTAGTCTGTGATGGTGTAGAAATATACTTGTCTGTTCCACCTTGTGATGTCATGTGGTAATGCAGGAAGTGCTCTGCTTTGTTTTTAAACTCCATACACTTTAATTTCAGCCTTTGGAATTGGCTATTTCTAATGAAAAAGGTAAAAGGTAGCTGTTAACATGTAAACTACAGCTTCATGACATCACAAGTTGGAACAGAGCATTTTGAGCTTTGGAAATGTAGACAGACTAATAATCAAGAGTTACTCAAACATGTGAATGAAACAAAACACAACTCCAGGTGTGTTTTGGAGGAGGTAACATTCTAACATGGCTTAAAGCTCACAAGAATCCATTTTGTGTAATACAGGACCTTTAATGCTTCATCTCTCTTTTCTGTCTGTAGGTAATGTAGCCTGGATGCACGTGCTGGCTGCCCGCGCTCTTCGAGACAAACCCCAAAATGTGGGAGGAGAGATCTTCTATAGCTATGACGACTCTCCATACAAAAGCTATGAAAGCTTCAACGAGCAGTTTTTCACTTCCTTCAACTTCCGAAAAATACGCATTCCCCTTTTCATCGTGTGGTTCATGGTGATAATCAACGAGATCCTGCGTTGGATTTTGAGTCCGTTTTATAACTACACGCCATTGCTTAATAAGTATACTTTTACAACGGTGTGTACTTCCTTTACAGTGCAGACGGATAAAGCGTACAGGCATTTCCAGTACAAACCTCTGTACAGCTGGGACGAGTGCAGGAAAAGGACTCAGGAATATGTCGATTCCTTTGCTCAAAAACACTATAAAGGAGATTAGCACAACTGTTGGAAAATACTTGATGGAATGAAAACAGATAATATGCCCTGGCAACTTAATTTCTATATTAAAGAGATAGTAGTTTGTCTGTTCAATCAGAATATCACGATTGAAAATGATTTAATGATAATAATAATACATTAATCTCAAACAGGGCTTTTCCACACGCTCAGAGTCCTTTTACAGTTTTATGCACTATTCATCCTACACTCGGAAGTGGTGAGATACTGTTGTAGCCACAGCTGCCCTGGGGCAGACTGGTGGAAGCGAGGCTGCCAATCCGAGCACCACTAACTCACGCACATACCATATATTCATAGCAGGCAATATGGGTGAAGTGTCATGCTTAAGGACACCACAACAGTGTTTCCCACTTGTGCCCCACTGTGACACTGTAATTCCCAGAGGAATCGACTCCCAGTACCCAGCCCTGTTGAGCCTCTGAGATCTGATGAGATCAGGCTCATTCTTAGTCATTGTCTTAGACATATTTGCTAAATTGACTTTTTTGAGCTTTTATTCATAGTGTAACATTGTTCCCTCATCAAAAATATACCTTAAAGTTTTTCACTTCAGTTACAAAGTTAATGCTAGATTCCCTTTTTGCACTGCATTATCTTGTGTCATAGCATCTTCCGTTCATTCCAATGTGCTGTGAAAGACTACGCCGTTTGAAGGGATGTTTAGAGGCTTATAGCTCCATCTAGTGGTGAGAGTTTGTAAGAAAAAGCAGAGCCTCTCAAATCCCAGTGTTTCTCATTTACATTCCACTTACTGAAAGATGTGTATCCTAAACAGGACACTGTAAAGGATAAAAAAGAACTATATTTATGGCATTTAAAGGTGCAGTATGTTAGTGGTCTGCCACTTGCTTGTTTCCATAGAGATGTTATTGCTTTGCCTGGAAAGCTGCACAGTATGGCATTAACCATATTTATTTAATTATGAGTGTTGTTCTTGCACAACAGAAACAGTGAGTGGACTCGACTCTCACCAGATCTAACTTGTAACTTGGCCTGGTGGTCTCCATGGAGATAGACATGTTTAATGTCATACTGTAGAACAGAGCAAAAGCAGATTTCAATTAACACAGAAAATGTATGATGCATTAACGTGATGTTTCTTTAATTTAAGTAATTAAATTTTTTTATTGTAAACAAAAATATATATTTTTTATTAACAAATGTTTAATCTATTATCTAAATTTAGTAATTTAGTATAGTAAATTAAGTATGTTTTATTCACATATTTAATAAAATAATTGTTAAAAAAAATGTGTATTGTATTTTGACTTTGTCTATTAAAATAGTAACAGTAATACAGCAGGAGTTTATAAAGCCTTATCCATAGGATTCAGAAGAATGAAAAATTTGAATAATTGCCATAGTGAATAAGAAGTGCTTTTGTCCAAACTTTTCAGACAGAAGTTATAAAATAATTTTTAGCCATTATAACTTGAAGGCTGTATCAAGTGGTGGTTTGAATATTGTTTAATGAAGTTACACATTGAGTTGAAGCTTAAACACTGAGATCTTATTTGTTGAAAAGTACTACTGTGTTTCCTACATAATGTGTGACCTATGTGTTTCTAAGCAAATTCCTTTGCAGAACTGGGACTGTGGAGATAACCAGCTGGCTTATCGAAACAGACTTGGTGTGATTTACAATGGTTAGGAGGGGGTTGTCACTTCCCCCAAAGAAGAAATGCTGACACTTCAAGGCAACGATTCAAGGCGGGAACCTGCTCAACATATTATATGCATATTCATATGGATGTTTATAAAAACTGGGTTGAAGTATTCAGAAGGGGTCAGATGCCTGATGTAAGCCCTCTGTAACTTTGTAGGCAGTTAGGGACAATGATCTGACCCAGAGCTCTGTATTAGAATTGTATTGTCAGGGGAATACATTTTTGTAATTTAAATTGATTGAGTCTAGTAATTTTTGATAGAACACGCCTAACAAACTGTAATCTAAAAAAAATAAAATAATCAGTTTTATATAGCGCTTCTCTGGACACTCAAAGACAATTTACAGAGCATTACTCATTCACTCCATACCCAGTGGTGGTAAACTACTACTGTAGCCACAGCTGCCCCGGGGCAGAGTGACGAAAGCAAGGCTGCCAATCTGCACCATCGGCCCCTCCGGACACCACCACTCAAACATACACCACTTTCATACTAGGCAATGAGGGTGAAGTGTCTTGCCTAAGGACACAACAACAGTTTTTACAACTGGCGCCCCACTGTGTCACCTGATTTTCCCAGCAGTCTCCCATCCAAGTACTAACCAGGCCCGGCCCTGCCAAAAATGACATTTTACGTCAGGACCGGCCCTGTCGTTTCGGCTCAGATTTGACAAAATTTTCAAAATGCGCAAAACTGGCTGGAAACGTCCCCAAACAACCCCAGACCACCCCAGATGTCCACACTGGAGCGTCAGCCAAAACCTGACATGGCCAAAAATGACATTTTTCTTCAGGACCGGCCCTGTCATTTCGGCTGAACCACTGCTGTCCTCGTTTGATCATTTGCTCAGTGTTCTTCTCAAACCTTAGAGACGAATCAAACGCAGTCCCAAGTACTTCTAAGAGTCCACCATTTCTACTGCTTCCCCATGGATGGAGCTGGTTATTGGGCTGTGGACTTTTTTCCACAAGTCCACAACCGCTTCTTTGGTTTTAGCTCCATTTAGATCCAGGTCATTGTTATCACAGCATTAATGAAAGCAGGTAGAGCTCGGCCGTGGTGTGAGTTTGCTCCCTGCAGGAGAGAGAGGAGGACAGTATCATCTGAGAACTTCATCATGTAGCTGCCCTCATGTGCGGACCTACAACCAGTGTTGGGAAGGTGACTTTAAAATGTATTCCCCTACACATTACATACTACACACCCCAGAATGTAGTTTGTAACATAATCCATTAAATTACTTAAAGTGAGTAAAGTAATCTGAATACTTTGGATTACTTGATTTGCTGTAGAGAAGCAAAGACGAGGAAATCGTAACATAAGATGTTTTGTCTGCTAAAAGAAAATAAAAAGACCAGACTTTACTGAACCTTATTGAAAATATTATTGGTAGTTTAGTCCTGTTAAATCCTGGTTTAGACCTGGTTTTAGACTTGGTTTAGTCCTGGTTTAGTCCTGGTTTTAGACTTGGTTTAGACCTGTTTTAGTCCTGGTTTAGTCCTGGTTTAGTCCTAGTTTAGTCCTGGTTTTAGACCTAGTTTAGACCTGGTTTAGACCTGGTTTAGATCTGGTTTAGATCTAGTTTAGACCTGGTTTTAGTCCTGGTTTAGTTCTGGTTTAGTCCTGGTTTAGTCCTGGTTTAGACCTGGTTTAGTTCTGGTTTAGTCCTGGTTTAGTCCTGGTTTAGTCCTGGTTTAGACCTGGTTTAGTTCTGGTTTAGTCCTGGTTTAGACCTGGTTTAGTCCTAGTTTAGTCCTGGTTTTAGACCTAGTTTAGACCTGGTTTAGATCTGGTTTAGATCTAGTTTAGACCTGGTTTTAGTCCTGGTTTAGTTCTGGTTTAGTCCTGGTTTAGACCTGGTTTAGTTCTGGTTTAGTCCTGGTTTAGTCCTGGTTTAGACCTGGTTTAGTTCTGGTTTAGTCCTGGTTTAGTCCTGGTTTAGTTCTGGTTTAGACCTGGTTTAGTTCTGGTTTAGTCCTGGTTTTAGTCTGGTTTAGTTCTGGTTTAGACCTGGTTTAGTTCTGGTTTAGTCCTGGTTTAGTCCTGGTTTAGTTCTGGTTTAGACCTGGTTAAGTTCTGGTTTAGTCCTGGTTTAATCCTGGTTTGGCTCCAAGAAAGAAAAAAAAAAGGCCAAAATGTGAAAACAGTAAAATAGCGCCCTGTAATCCCATTTATTTCAACAAAGTAACTATAATCCAATTACCTGTCATGGAAACAGTAACTGTAACTGAATACAGTTACTCATAATTTGTACTCTGATTATGTAACTCTGGTACATGTAATCTGTTACTCCCAACACTAGTTGCTAGTGTGATGTCATTCAGGATGTGAAATGAACCAACCTGAGGAAAAATGTGTACATTTTGTTTTTCTTCTTTTGCAAAATGTGAAATACAATGATTTTGATTTTGAGTGTGTTTTAGTGAAATGAGTTGTCCAAGATGTCATAGACACTTTAAAGTTCAGATGGAGGGCAGTGAGGGCTTTTAAGGACAAATGTCAAACTCAAAATGTCAATGTTTAATTTGGTTTATGGTTAATTTATCTGCAAGAACTGGCAGCAAGTTCAAGCATTGTTTTCTCTGGCAGTACAAAAAAACCAAGTTCTCTTGATGTATAATTCACTCAAATATGTCATGAATTAAAGGTGCATTATGTAAATTTTAGACCGTTCTGCCTGGAATGTTCCACAGTATGACATTAAACAGCTAAACATTACGTTTAATATATTACAGATGCTTTTAAAGCTCAAAAATCCCTAGAAAAACAGACATGACTGAGTGTGAGCGGGGTCGCCTCTCCACAGATCTGACTTCCTACTTTGGCTGGAATGTTTCACAGTTTGGTATTAAGCCTTTCTATCTTCATGGAGACCAAACCAGACCAAGTTACAGGTCAGATCTGTGGAGAGGCGACCCCTCTCCCTGTCAGAACGTCTGTTTTTCTATGTCATTTTTCAGCTCTAAAACCAGCTGTAATTGAATCAAAGTAAAGACGAGCTGTTTAATGTCACACTGTGGAACATTCTAAGTGCAGCAGTGATATATCCATGGAAACAAGAAGGTGACAGAGCCTCAATCAAAAAGTGACCCCTTTAAGCCACAGAATGATTTCAGTTCAAATTGTGAGCTGTGAACATTTGAAGTAAAAGGACTAAATTCACACATTTGTCTCATTTGTTTGGAGAGATCTTTTCTAAACTTGGTGCCCTCCATCTGGTCCTCTGAGCCCAGCCCGCGCCGCTCTTCCCCCAGCCACAGCACGCGTCCCTGGGTGTACGTCCCGTGGTGTCCGCCCGCCGCTCCGTGGATGCTCCCTGTTCTCATGCAGACCATATCTTAGTGTGCCCGCTGCCCCAGTCTGTGCCCGCCCTGTCGCCCACAAATGTGAACGTTCCCCTGAGCACCTGTAGAAGCTGTTGTCTGCATGTTCTGTTCTGTCCCACGATGCCACATATCAGTTGCACACTTTGTATCTATGCTTCAATGTTCTTCAATTAATTCTTCAATAAATGAATAATTTTGTATACAGAGCTGCGTGTGTGGATCTTTTTGGAAAACTCTGAAGGTAACACATTCTGCTCAACTGTTTTTAGGTTGTGTTTTGAAGGTGCTCTGTGTCACTTATTTTTTTGGGAGGTTTGCTACTTTCTAGTATCCATGGAGATGCTATTGTTTTGCCAGTAATGTTCCACAGTATGGCATTAAATGTATCTATGGAGACAATCAAGAGCCCAAGTTTCAGGTCAGATTTCTAGAGACAAGCCCACTCAGTGAAGTTTTTGAAGGTACTTTTGAGCAATACAAACGTAAATATAATGATAGAATTTAATGCCATAGTGCGGAACCTTGTAAGCAAAGCAATACAGTTTCCATGGAGACAAGAATGAAGCTACACACTGATACTTTAATGTAGTGTCCTTGTGAAAACGTCCCTGGAGAAGTGTTTTATCTCATTCTCTATCCAAACTTTTGCTTTTCCAAACTATATAAACATTTGGACTTTTGCTAGAGCAGTTCACTAAATCTTTGGACTGTCGAAGAGTCCTGAGAATGTCACTTAGAATATGAAAGTGCAAATGTATGGCTTTGTATCTGTAACTGGGTGTGCATGAATTTAGATTGGGCGTTGCATTTTCTGCAACAGGAGCTGGCCTTGACCTGAAACACATGAATGCAGAAAACCCACTCCCATGTAAAAGCAGCTATTGTTGTTCACATTATTTAAACAATACAAGTTCTCAGTGCATTACTAGATAGACCTCTGGCGCCCTCTGCTGACTCTTGTCACTAATAACGTCTTCAATAATTTGACAGGTTTTCCATTAATAAAGTCTAGTCTATACTTCAGGGATGTAATACATTTAGTTGTTAAGCTTCAGACGTCACTAACCATGATACAAATCATTTCTAATAAAATATAAGATTTTTAACATTTTATTTCTTCAGTGTCTATAATAATCGGAGTAACGTAGTAAGCCTTGTTTATTTTCCATCCATTCATTTTCTTCCACTTCACGGGGTCACGGGGGCAGCAGTCTAAGCAGGGACTCCCAGACTTCCTTCACCCCAGACACTTCCTCCAGCTCCTCTGGGGGGACCCCGAGGTGTTTCCAGGCCAGAGACATAGTCCCTCCAGTGTGTCCTGGGTCTTCCCCGGGGCCTCCTCCTGTTGGGACATGAACACCTCCCGAGGGAGGCGCCCAGGAGGCATCCGGAACAGATGCCCAAGCCACCTCAACTGGCTCCTCTCGACATGGAGGAGTAGCGGCTCTACTCTGAGATCCTCCCGTGTGACTGAGCTCCTCACCCTATCTCTAAGGGAGCGTATCCACGATCTCATCCTTTCAGTCATTACCCAGAGCTCATGACCATAGGTAAGAGTAGGAACAAAGACTGACCGGTAAATCAAGAGCTTTGCCTTTCGACTCAGCTCCCTCTTCACCACAACGGTCCAACACAGCGACCGCATCACTGCCCACGCATGGCCTCGGGCTTAGAAGAGCTGATCTTCATCCAAGCCGCTTCACACTCGGCTGCAAACCGTCCGAGTGCACGTTGCAGGTCCTGGTTCAATGGAGCCAACAGGACAACATCATCTGCAAACAGCAGAGATGAGATCCTGTGGTCCCTAAACCAGACCCTCCGGCCCCTGACTGCGCCTAGAAATTCTGTCCATAAATACAATGAACAGAACCGGTGACAAAGGGCAGCCCTGGCGGAGTCCAACATGCACCGGGAACAGGTCTGACTTACTACTGCAATGCAAATGAACACAGCTCCTGCTCCGGTCATACAGGGACCGGACAGCCCTTAGCAAAGGGCCCCGAACCCCATACTCCCAGAGCACCCCCCACAGGACACCACGAGGGACACGGTCGAATGCCTTCTCCAGATCCACAAAGCACATGTGGACTGGTTGGGCAAACTCCCATGAACCCTCGAGCACCCGATGGAGAGTGTAGAGCTGGTCCAATGTTCCACGGCCAGGACGAAAACCACACTGCTCCTCCTGAGGTTTGACTATTGGCCGGATTCTCCTCTCCAGTACCCTGGCATAGACCTTACTATAGGCCTTGTTTATTTTATTTATTATTATTATTATTATTATTATTATTATTATTATTATTATTATTATTATTATTATTATTATTATTATTAAATGCATGTGTTTAATTCCCTCTTGGATTATTTTGTTATTAATTTATTTTTTGTTATTTATTTATTTATTTATTTTAGAGAGAAAGAGCGAATGGTTTAAATATGTTATTCCAAACTTTTGACCATAAACCTGGAAAGGTGTAGGAAACATTTTTGTAGGAAGCGTTTTCCTGTGCCAATAAGTTATCGGAGAGCGCCCTCTGCTGGACTCTCTCCGCAGAGCCCCGTGCGTGTGACAACGTGGCGCTCCAGACCCAATAGGAACACGCCCTTCTTAAATTACACCGCTCTTATTGGTCCGAAGGTGCTGGAGGACTTCATTTGGCCGTCGCTGATTGGCTGCTGAGTGGAGCGCCCGCCTTCTTTTCCTGTGATATTTAAATGAGGGGAGAGTGCCAACGCGGAGAGCGCCGCTGTGTCCCGCTGTGTCCCGCTGGGAGAACCGCACTCAAGTAAGTTTCTTTTATTATCTTATCAGAGAGAAGAACGTCTGTGGATCTCTGCGCTTTAGTCACAGTCTGTTTCATCCTGTTTCATCTCGTCGTGTTACAATGACGCGTGGAACTCTGGGATCTCCGTTATCCTCCTGTCCTTAACTTCTGAGCAGACAACTGTAGATGCAGACGTGCAGCTGACGAGCTCTACTCACCTGAAAAGACACTCTGAATCATCTATACAGTATACATTTTCTTTGTCCACAAGGAGTCTGTTGTAGGCTGTTGGCATCAACACGCTGCTGCAGTAGTAGTAGTAGTAGTAGTGGTACTACTACTACTACAAGTAGTAGTAGTAGTAGTAGTAGTAGTACTTTGGGCGTGTTGCCTGCAGTTGCATCACTGTAGCCTACAGTAGGTCCTCACAGCACAGAGTTATTAGAGTCATTAGAGTGTAGTAAAGTCTACTTCTAGAAGAATACTCCGTTTAAACATCCCGCTGCTCCTTGAATAAAATAGTTACTGCTTCAGTGAGAAAACTTGAGGAGGAGACAAGGAGTCAGATGTTGTTGTAAGTTGTGAAAAGTGATTCCAAGACTGTGTTATAACCGTGTCACTGGAGGTAACATCTGATTTAAGAGTCTGTCTATTCATTTAGTTGCAGCCTCAGGAGGAACCCCCAGCCCCCCACCCCAAGTCCAGCCCCCCCGCAGGCCACTCTCCTCTCTGCCTGTGTGTCCTCTGCTGCAGGGGCTCTCATCCGCTGTGGGGGTCACACTGACTTGGGCCTTGTTTGAGTTGTGTTTAATCCTGATGTAGACTTAGTTAGTAGACTTGGACTTTAGTCCTGGTCTAGTCCTGGCCATGTCCAAGTTTAGGTCTGGATTTAGTTAAATGTGATGTTTGTTCAACTGTGATTGCACCATAAGCTTTGTCTCTCTCTCTGCTGCCCCCTAACGCAGGTGCTAGGCACATACACCTGTTTGCTATAGTAGTTTACTCTATATTTAGTTTGTTTATTTATTGTTTGTTTTTTGACACTCAGAAAGTATTTAAAGGCCATTCTTTATTCACTCCACACATGGCTGTTGTAAATTGCTATTGTAGCCACAGCTGCCTTGGGGCAGACTGACAGAACCGAGGCTGCCAATGTGCATCATCGACCCCTCCGACCAACACCAACACTCACACACCACATTCATACTTGGCACAACAACAGTATGCACTAGTATGCTCTGGCATTACCAGTGCTCTCCCATCCAAGTGCAGCACTGCTCAACTTCCAAAGTGGACCAGATTGGGCATTAAGCATGTCTAGACCTGCTCAAAACTCGGATTATATGAGGTATAGGTAATTAGGACTAAACCAGGACTAAACTCGCATCAAACTGACCTCAGTAATTCAGATCTTGTGTGTACAGCCCAGGGTTTGTCTGGTTATCTGCTTGTCCTGCTCATAACCCTGTTCTCTGGTCCACAGCTCTAGATGCAGAAGATGCATAAAATGCTGAGGTTGTTGGTGTTGGCGTGTGCCCTCACAGCGTTGTCCCTGGCAGTGCCCGCTCAGGAGAAGCGCGTCCATCACCAGCCTAAACTCAGTGAGCACGAGCACGATGACTCTCACGGTTTCCAGTACGACCACGAGGCCTTCCTGGGCAAAGAGGAGGCCAAGACCTTTGACCAGCTCACCCCAGAGGAGAGCAAAGAGCGCCTGGCGTGAGTAGTGCCACACACAGCCACATGGCCCTGCTCTGAGTGTGCAGAGAGCTACAGGAAACCTCAGAAGATGAACCATGATTTGGTGGGACATGGAGTTTAGGAAATAATAAAGGTGCTATATGCTGGGGATCTGTCACCTGCTGGTCTCCATGGAGATGTTATTGCTTTGCCTGGAATGTTCCTCAGTTTGGCTTTTAATGTTTCTATCTTGTACTTGTGTTTCTATTATTCAAAAAATACCTTTAAAATTGTGTATTCTTACTGTAAGTGGGGCACCTCTCCACAGATGTGACCCATAATGTGGTCTGGTGGCATCTCCATGGAGATAGAGAAGTGGACAACATTGAACATTCTAGGCCAAAAATCAAAATCACCCAATTTCTGTCAGATCGTGGTCCCTCTGATCACTCACATCAGATTTTAATGTCCATTTCATTTAAAGGGGCCATATTTCACTTTTCACACAACTCTGTTCTGATGTTGTTTCCTCGTCACAAACAAACCTGGAGCTGAGTTTTGTTTCATCCACACATGTTTAACACAAACCTGAATATTTAGGTTGAGTTCTTCTCTCATGCAGAAAACACTGTTCCACCTTGTGATGTCATATACAGGAAGTGCTCCACTGTGTTTTTTAAACTCCATACACCTTCACTAGAATCATTTGGTAAAAGATAAAAGGAGCTGTTAAAAAACTACCACTTCATGGTCACATGGTCACATTTTTCTTTAGCGCTTTTCCAACTTCATGTTTATTGTTTTTTATCATGTTTTAATGTTGTACAGCACTTTGGTCAGCTTTGGTTGTTGGAAGGTGCTATAGAAATCAATTAGATTGATTGATTGAAGGTGGTCAAAGCGTTTTACAACAAGGAACCACTCACCCATTCACACACACATTTATAGACCAGTGTACACAGACACTGGGGGCAAGATGGGTTAAGTGTCTTGCCCAAGGACACAACGACAGCATTCATCTGTGGGAGCTGGAATCACATCAGCCAACCTGTGGGTCAGTGGATCTGACCGCTCAACCTGTGATGTTTATGTTGAGAGCTGGATTCAAACCACCAACCTTCAGTCAGTGGATGAACGCTCGACCAACTGAGCTACTGCCGCCCCCAGTGACGTCACAATGTGGAACAGGGCATTTTGAGCTTTGGGGATGTAGACAGACTAACAAACAAACATATGTGAATGAAACAAAACACAACTCCGGCTGTGTTCATGATTATGTAACAGCATTATAACATGGCTTACAAATCACACGAGTCTATTTTGTGTAATATAGGATCTTCAAATATTCTCCAGAAATCAGATTAAAATCAGATTTTGGCGTGCATGTGAACACGGCCAAAGTTCACACCACTCTCACTCCAAACTTCAACAATACCACCACGTTTCTCTGCAACACTACAAGTATAATAACACAGATGATTCAAAGCAACAGCAGTGGGCAGTGATTCAGGTCCTCCTCTTTTTTTCTCTTTGCCCCGACAGGAAGATCGTAGACCGCATCGACACAAACAAAGACGGCTTCATCGACCACGGCGAGCTGCACCAGTGGATCAAACACCGACAGAGGAGCTACATCCAGGAGAACGTCAACAAGCACTGGAACGACTACGACAAGAACCAGGACGGCAAGATCGCCTGGGAGGAGTACAAGAACACCACCTACGGCTACTACCTGGGTAAGACACAAGAACTTGTTTTAAGGAGGAGAAACTCAAAGCTCAAATTCTCAGCAGTCAGTTGTGTACACCAAGTGACGCTTTGAGCATCAGCCCTTCATGTCATCATCATCATATTAATATATTACTCTTATACAATACTTTTCCATCTGCTCAAAGTCATTTTCCAATTTCTGTGCATTCTTCATTCACTCCACACTCGGTGGTGGTAAGTTCCTATTGTAGCCACAGCTGCCCTGGGACAGCCTGCTGGAAGCAAGGCTGCCAATCTTCACCATCAGCCCCTCTGACCACCACCAAACACACACACACACACACACACCACTTTCATACTAGGCAATGTGGCTGAAGAGTCTTGCCTGAGGACACAACGACAAATCATGACCATTGTTGACCTGTGCTGTGTGTGTGTGTGTGTCTGTGTGTGTGTGTGTGTGTGTGTGTGTGTGTGTGTGTGTGCACGTGTGTGTGTGCGTGTGTGTTTCCAGGGGAGGAGTTTGATGACGTGGAGGATAAAAACACGTACAAGAACATGCTGTCGCGAGACGAGAGACGCTTTAAGGTCGCTGACCTCAACCACGACGGCATCGCCACCAGGGAGGAGTTCACCGCCTTCCTGCACCCTGAGGAGTACGACTACATGAAGGACGTGGTGATCCAGGTACACAGGGCACAGGGCAGAGGGCAGAGGGCACAGGTACACAGGGCAGAGGGCACAGGTACACAGAGCACAGTGCAGAGGGCACAGGTACACAGGGCAGAGGGCACAGGTACACAGGGTACACACAGAGGTACACAGGTACACAGGACAGAGGTACACAGGACAGAGGTACACAGGACAGAGGTACACACAGGTACACAGTGCAGAGGGCACAGGTACACAGGGCAGAGGGCACAGGGTTGTATTCTCACATATCACCACTAGATGCTGCCTGTGTTAGTGTTGTCTGATCACGTGCCCGCTTTGGCGTAGAGGTGATTGTTGAGGCAGAGGCAGCAGCTGTGATTGGCTGACAGGAGCAGGTTTGATTTTTATTTAGAAACGTGTGTATAATGTATAATAAATACTGTTTGTGTCCATGTGTCCTACAGGAGACAGTGGAGGACATAGACAAGAACGGGGACGGGAAGGTGGACATGGTGGAGTACATCGGTGAGGGACGCGCTGTATGTGTGTGTGTGTGTGTGTGTGTGTGTGTGCGTGTGTGTGTGTGTGCGCGTGCGTGTGCGTGTGTGTGTGTTTAGGACATGTCTCTGCGTCACTGTGCCTGTGCGCCCTCTGCAGGTGACATGTACTCAGAGGAGGACGCGGAGAATGAGCCTGACTGGGTCCAGACCGAGCGCAAACACTTCAGTGAATTCAGGGACATCAACAAGGTAAAGAGGCTCATATTCTCCAGGCTGTTTGTCCAGTGCAGATGAACGATCACATTCAACATCTGTGCATTTACCTTTTGGATATTTCTGTAAAAAAACATGTAATCAATACAGAAATCTGACCCGCCCCCATCTGAGAGAATGACATCACATCATCGTCTAGAATCAAACTTCCATGTTTACATACAGACTTCAGTTAAAAAGAGCAAGACATATCATCTGCTTTTCTCTTTTGCAAGCATTTTGATTGGATTGTTTGATTGGTGTGTGTGCATGTGTGTGTGTGTAGGACGGCTTTCTGGACAAAGATGAGGTGGCCCAGTGGGTGTTACCTGGAGAGGTGGACCACGCCGACAACGAGGCCAAGCACCTGATCCATGAGACAGACACAGACAAGGTAGAGTACAGCTCCCTCTCTCTCTGTCTGTCCATCCTCTCTCTCTCTCTCCGTTTCATTCACCTTCTCCGTCTCTGCTGGTGTCTCTTCAGGATGAGAAGATCACTAAGAAGGAGATCTTGGCCAACTGGAACATGTTTGTGGGCAGCCAGGCCACCAACTACGGAGAGGATCTGACCAAAAGCCACGATGAACTTTGACCTTAACCTCTGTTAGGGTTATTCTGTTACTGAGGGGTCGGGCGGGGTTAGGGTGTGATTGGGGGGTCAGGGGAGGGTCAGGGTGGGGTAAGGGTGGGGTCAGGGGGTGGTTTGTGACCACTCACACAGCTGCAGATACATACTGTGTATGTCCCAGCGCCTCAGTCTCACTGTTACAGAAGGTCACGTCCACAGGGTCCACACTGTACAGAGCCAGAGTTTAAGGAGCACATGTCCCCTGTAAAGACACACTGTCTCCAGAGGGACTTGTCCTCCAAACCAGAGACACTCAGGTGGCGGGCACGGCAGAGTGGTAGAATTTAGATTTGAACTGTTCTCCTGGTTTATGCTTAATGTCTCTGTAATTCTTACTGGGCCTGGAATCCAGTCAAGCTGATAAATTAAACGTACAATCGCAAGAGTTCTTTAACAATAATACTGTGTATTACAGAGGCAAAAACATGTTCCATGTAATTTATATTAAATAGGAATTATACATGCTGCGTACATGTAACAAATTATACTCACACCATTTTCACACAGTTTGAAAACTGCCCCACAACTCAAACATGTGAGAGTAAACTTCTCCAACAGTTTCCTCTCATAAGCAGGACACAGAGCTCTCCAGGCCTCTGCTCATCCTCACATTGAACTGTGCACATTTTCTCTTCTGTCATGTCACAGTGGCTCCTCTGCCCTCCACCTGAGCTTTGAACTCCACAATAATCTGAACCCACTGGTCCACACATGTTTGGTAAAGCCACATGACCAGAACAGAGAATGATGTCTTCACTTCATGAGACCTGTGTTACTGAAGTCTTATTTAAACCCTCCTCACCTTTTGTATCTTTGTGTGTGTCATGTTTTCTACTGAAAGTCTACATCCTCTGTGCTGTCACCAGGAATAAACACGTGGACCTCAG